CTCTGGAGTTTGTCCATCGACAGTAGACTGGGACAAGTCTTCGTTGTGTGCCATTGAAACTAGTTAAAGGAAAACTTAATAAAGAGGTAAGTTCTCTGTATCGTTCCCACAAACGACGCCAATTGTACGAGCACGAAATAATCCTTCTCGTATAATCCTGTTGATCAAGTTTGCACTCCTCAAAACGTCGTCATCCAATCACCTGAAAACACAAACGTCAGCCTATTATAGACACCCCATTTTTTACCACCCTTAAGACTTGGGTGCCTCAGTTTGATCACCTAATGATGAATTTATACGCTATACAAACGCTCGTTTTCCTCAGTAAGAAGCCTTAGTTTTGAGTCTCGGAAGCCTATAAACCTTGCACCACTTTTAGACCAAAACAGTATTTTTCCAAGCCTGACAACCTAGAGGCCTGCAGGCCAACTAATGGCCAACTAGCCAAAAAAAAGTAGATGGTCGTCCCCCTAGTGGCCAGTGGACCAGTTATTTCAATAGAGCAAATATTTGTTGCCAGTTGTCCCCCTATGTGCATGTACTACACTAGCTGGCTCAATACAAATATTTTTAAGATATCAACCAGCTATTCTATATATAAACAATCATACCTTATGTTTTTAGGTTAGAAAAATTTGTCCAGTGCAAAATTCTTGAAAATATTTCTCTCTCTACCTTGAAACCTATATACACTCTCTCCGTACTCCCTAAACCTAATATTTAAGGCTCCTTGCTGAGGGTCTTGAACTCGAATTTCAGCACTTGAGGGTGAGAAATTGTTGGTTTGTGAATCAAAGTATTACTCCTCTTCAAGAGGTGTGACTTCTAGCTTCTCTACACCACTTCTTCCCTATCTTCACTTGTTGTTTTTGGACTATTTTTCTACTATTTTTATGGGCTGAAACTTGTGGTTTAAAGCTATCAAATGTAGAAGGGTTGACCACCCTTCTTTGAACCTTATTTTCCAAGCTTTTGTCCTTGTGTTTTCCATCTATTTTCTAACTCTTTTCCATCTTTTTATCACTGATTTTTAGAGTTTTTCAGAGGCTAAAAAAGTGATTTTGAAGTCCCGAAAGTAGAGGGGTCAGCCATCCCTCCTCAAGCTTGTTCACTAGCTTAATTTCTCTATTGTTTTAGCTTACTTTTTTTAGTTTTTCCATGATAATTTCAGCACTGTTTGAGAAAGAACCCCTTCTATGCTTAATGGTTTAATCTCTTCGAAGGTTCATTACCAAGGCATTACATCTCTCTCATGCCCAAAATAACTTCTTGTTTGACACTTCTCTCCATTTAGTAGACATAATTCTCATTTTTGAACGAAGCTAATTAATTAAGTACAACACGGAATTAATTAACTAAGCTATTACAAGTTCGAAGAAATTAACTAATTAATTAACTAATTAACTAAGAGCTATGTAAGCTAAGTAAAATCGAGCGGGAGGTGGAACCACACATGCCAATGCGAACATCCTCCTAGAAACGCCTCTGTTTTGTTGCCTGTCTGCAAAAAAAATACTTCTATTTATTCCTCAATTCTGCTCTGTTTTTGCAGGAAAATGACATTGCTTGGCCGAAAAGAGATGGTCGACTGATCAGATAAAGTGGTCAGTCGGATTCAAATGGTGGCCGACCGGCCACTATTTTTGGTACTGCCCTGCTGCAATAGAAAAGAAACAGAGCAGAAACAGAGTATTTCCAGGAGATGTGTATGCTCTCTGCTTCTCCCTATCATGAAATTGATCAAATTAGGGGTAAAATCGATTCACAAATCATCAATAGTCGCAACGTTATTGCATGATGATCTATGACTCGATTGGACAAAAGCTCAATTAGAGAAAATAAGAGACCAATGAAACCTCCTCCCTATCATGGAATTGATCAAGGGAAGTGGTTGACATTGATTCTTAAACCATTATCATCACTAACAAGTATGAAATAACTCAAGACTCAATGGGTTCAATTGATGTCCGATTGAACCCAACTATTTTATTATCTTGCTCCATTAGCTAGTGTAACTCATTCATTCATTTGGTTTGTAATAGTTAGTTAATTTGGTAATTAGCTGAGATTCGGATATTCATTCGGACCCTCTTGTGCGAGGCCAAATATGTAATAATGTGTGTATGTCTTCCAACCCTCATTTCTTTCTCCCTTTTATTTACTCGCTTATGTTGGATAACATAGAGCAACATGTTTTAATTAGCATTTTGCATGACTTGTATCCATTTGTCTTCCATGCATAAGGGTTCGGTTCATCATTCTAATCATATTGTCATTTCTTGCTTACTCGAATACGTGCATTAAATCGCATGCCTTGAGTTAAGCCATATGCAATGTTATTAAACTGAACCTCTTAGTTACATTATTGTATGTTTTGCATTAGCCATTTGTATCATTAGGATCATGCATTTTTCTAACTGTTTTATTCCTTTTGGCTTGCCTCGATTGAGTACTACGCGAGTACTTATTGCTTTAGCATATTGCATACGTGCGAATGTTGCCATGTCAAGCATGTTTACCATAAAGCTAGGTGCCTAAGTGATATACGTGTTTAAATGCTAGTGGATAAAAGCTAATTGCTCAAATTGGGATGATTTGCTTAAGTGTACGTATGAGATCACTTTTTCAAGTGGTACATATTCAAACACCTTTAAAAAAAAACATAAACTCCAAGTGTTCCAATTTTCGTAAATTAGTCTATACTTGTGTGCGTCACATAGTAAAATTAGTCTAATAATTAGAACAATAGCATATAATGTAAATAAGAATCACATCATAATTAGTAGAGGCCAATCTTTGATCCGGTGAGTGGGGTGCTCAATTCATGACATTCCCCTCTTATACCTAGGTTCCCAAACCAAGACACTTTGGTGATGATAGATAAGTGGCCTTTGGCACGAGTCTCAGGTTTCCTAAATTTTTCAAAAATATTTAGGTGGCGACTCTGTAATTTTTTATTCAAAATCAATTTTACAAAAGGTTTTTCGAATTTGGACTCATTTGTGTTTATCTATTTCACATTGCACTTGTGAAATCAAATTCAGAATTACAGGAGTCGGAGCTGTAGGGCTATCATATCCAAAATGAGCACAAAAAGCAAGCTACACCTGTTGGCGAGTGTGCGCTGGAAACCCCTCCGATGCCTAAGTCAACAAGTAAACAATAGACAAAAAGCTTTGTATATTCAAGAGTAAGAATTGTGATACCTGTAAATAGGATCTATCACGAGCTTTTATAGACTCCACATGCCACAACCCTAGCATAACTTTAACTCTCATTAGCAGAGTCTTTCTAGGAATCACATTCCTAAAGGATAATACTTATCCCTGGGACACCCTCCTCACTGCAAACCAAGTGAGATGGCCAAACACCCTGTTTGGCTAACCATGCCAAACCGAGCTACCTAGTTCCGTTATTCCTTTGACCGAACTGTGCAAACAACTAAATGATGATCCGTCGAGCTAAACCTAGCTCAGCTTTCTTCACCAAAGCCATCCCAATCTATTTATGGCCTGCACATAGATAGCTAGGTCCAATTCCATTAGCTGGCCTAGTACCCATTCAGCCTAGAACCAAGCTATCAAAGCTCTTATCTCGGCCCAACATACGGCCCAAACTTTGAAAACAATTTTACTAGCTCGACCCAATTTGTCTACACAAATTACCCTCTCACTTACACATTTTAATATTATTTTCACTGATAGGTGCCATCACATTTTTGAATCCCTTATGTAATGCAAAATTGAATTTTAAAACTAATATATATTTTAAAATTGAAAATAATGTATTTTTTCTACTATTTTAGAGTTAATCTAATAAAAAAATATAATAATAAGATACAATTTTTTGAAAATTAGAAAAATAGAATTGAGTTCAAATCAAATATTTTTATTAATAGCTTCATTGTTAGTTTCATTAAATTTAGAAAATTTTAATTTTTCTATACACTTGGTATTTTTTCAACTAATGGTGAATTTTTTGACGTGACACATTAACATGACAAAACTAAATACACATTGAAAATGACATAACATGATAACACAAAATATTAAATGAGTTGGGTTAGCTTTGAAGTAATTTTGACTTGATCCAAAATAACAAGACACTATTACAACCCAACATAAGACAACACCCACCACTATATAAAATGGTCGAAATAGACACTACAACAATTTAAGAATTTAGAGATAAAAATTTAGAATCACAATTATTTTAGTTGCCATAAGTGTGATTATTGTATTTTTAGTGACAAAATTGGACATTTACTAATGAATTACTATTTTATGCGACCAAAAATTTTATCTCAAAAAAGAAACTTTTTTAGACCAAATTATTTTGTGCATTTATTAGCGACATTTTCTAAATTTTGTCACTAAAAGTGCCTTTAAACTTTTCAAGACAATTTTTTAGTGACTATTCTCACAACAAAAATTGGTCTCCAAATATTTTTTATAACAAAATTTTTACTTTTAAAAACAAAAATGTTTAGTTCCTAAATCTCTTGTTTGTCATAATAAAAAATGTTTGAGATTGGGTCACATACGTTTCTCAAGCATGACTGTGGAACATATTATTGTGCTTATTAACTAGGCATTTCACCGTTGGAAATTAGACTTATAGTGGCGTTTAAAAAACGCCGCTATAACTATAAAAAACGCCGCTAATTTTTTCGTGACGTTTAGTGCCAAACGTCGAAGATACGGCCGTCGCTGTAGCTTTATGACGCTTAAAAAGCGTTGCTATATTAGTATAGGCGGCGTTTTAAAAATGTGCTGCATAATGATACAATGACGTCACGCCATATTTAGCAACGTTTTAAAAACGCTGTGATAGATCTTTTCTATTTTAAAAATATAACCGTTGGCATTATTCTATAGTGGCGTTTAAAAACGCCGTTATAGCTTCATTTTTTATTTTTTTAAAATTGTGCTAATTTTATGAGATTTAACTGAAAAAAATACCTATAATAAAGCTGAAAAATATTCAATATATTGACTAAATTTAGGTAAACATAATACTAGATCAATTCATGCTTCTCGATATACAAAAATATTTCAATTCCAAGATGAAATAAAGTTAAATTAGTGCCTAGCAGTAAGTTGAAAGTTATTACAAAACAGATCGGCACAAAAGATGCAATTCAAACTAATTATACATATAAGTACTTTTGTTGCTGGAGGATTTATTTCTACCCCGGAAATTTATCATTGTAGTTAGTTGGAGATTTCCATCTGCACTAACCAAGAAAACAAAACAAATTAGACAATATATGTAGAAAGAAACAAATTGATAGAATTAACTATCGAGAAACATAGTTGGGAAAGTAAGTAGTACCTGATGCTACATAAAACTGGCAGGTGCCAATGACAGAGCCCACTATAAAGCCCTGCATTGATAAAGAAAAAAGATACAGAAGAAACCATCGTTAGAGTGAACTTCATAAGCTGCAATATATTATTAGTAAAGCACAAAGTAAAAGTAGTATAAAATAATTCATGAGATGGAAATCAAGTGTTTTGTAGCCATACTTTGGCATCTGGGTGGTAACATCTAGCAGTTACATCTCTCACATCAGCCCAATCAACAACTTGTCTCTCAGTCACTCCCCAAATTCGAGCTTTTCCGTTTATAGAGCCACTCATGAAGTAATTTTCATTGGCTGGATTGAACTAAATGCACGTCACTGATACCATAAAGATAACATAAACAATATCTTAATTTTTAATAACACTCAAAAGACAATAGATTCAACAAGATACATATACATATTATGATCTGAATCAATAGTTTACATAGGAATTACAAATAGCTAACAATACTAACCATAGTCATTGTGTTGGAAAACACTAATACATTCATTGCACCCCACTTGCTGTAGACGAACAGTTTTATCCTTCCATGATGAAAGAAGACACTGCAACAAATTAACCCCAAAAACATTATGTTTTTTTAAAACAAATGGGAAAATTTTAAAGGTATTTTGCAACAAAGCAATAACTCACATTAGATTTGGACCAGGCTAGATCCAAGACATCACTAGTGTGGCCATGAAATTCTTTCAGTGGCAACTCCTCAATCTGATGAATTTTTTCCACCAACTCCTCAATAACTCCCATCCTCTTATTTTTGATAATTTTTTTCCACCAATTCCTCAATAAAAACACAACTGGTAGCAAATCTTATAATGGTCATTTGAATCTACAAAAGGATGCAATATTCATGAACAAAAAATCAGTCTTTATTTCCTTTCCCAATAAAAAAAAAGGTATATATCTCTGTTTTATGAGTTCTCTTTTCAAACATGGTATAGTGGAAAATGTGATATAACACCAAAAATATGTAAAATACTAAAGCATCTTACCATTTTGTTTGCTTTCTTACACTGACATGGTTGGCCCTCTTTGACCACTCAAATTGATCCCATTCACTTGTCCAGCTATCATAATGAAAAAGCATAATTTGAAAATCCTCAAAAAACTATCCAAAAATAAATAAATAAATAAGATTACAAACATCTACTTGCAACATCATAAAATAATACATATAATGGAATGGTCCATTTGTGTAACCTTTTTAACTGCTGCATCAATGTTGTTCCTCTGATCCAAACCAACTGTGAATGATCCAAACCCATTCTCTCTGCAACAAGCATTATGTATATCTAAAATATGATGTTGAGATGAATAATTAGCATGACAAGAAATAAAACCACACATACAGAGGGAAGAAAATAACTCATTCGCAAGAACTTAACAGAATACAGAAGAAAAAATTAGCTAGGATGGTTTACTCATGTACAATCATAGCCCCTAAATGTGTTAGCTCCAGCCACTACCCACATAGTAAGGAGCCCACTATCCACATGGTGTGGGTGGAACCATGAGGTGTGAGTTATAATCTCCCTCCGAGATAATTCTATAATGGATATCACTCCTGTGGTCGTAGGCAATTGTCGAACCACGTAAATCTCTTGTGTTATTGTGTGTGATTGATTTATGGTGTCCCATAGTCCTAACAAAATGCACCAGCACGGAAAGGAATTTAGAAAGGATGACAGGAAGGCAAAAAAGAAAATGGCCCAAGTTATAACAATAGAGGTGATAGCATATAATTTGACAGGTGATATGACAGATAATATGAAAATAGACAAAGCTGAATAGCTGAGGGATTCCCGTAGCTGGACTCAATGAGTAGTACTCAACAAAAGTAGATCACCCTGAACAGAATTTATAGGATCAGTATGAAAAATAATATCCTATCTTTAAACTCTATCGCTGCACTGTAGAAAATAATGAACCATCTCAATCCCCCCCCCTACTTACCCAAAAAAAAAAAAAAAAATCTCCTAATACATTCAACTATTACACAAAATGTAAGCAACAAATGCCTTTGGACTCTGTTGTCAGCAGCTTGTCTGCAAAAACTAAAATATTTTGAAGCATCATCATTATATCTCATGCCAAAATGATATAATTCTTCAAACAATGTGTGCATTGGAGCCTATTAAAACACTGATAACTGAAAAGCATAACAAGACCTTCCATGCTTACCTTTTTTCTGCTCTTCAGAAGCTACAGAACATTGCCTAAGGTATCTTTTATGGGCCCCAACTTTAAGGAAACCCATCTCTTCGCTTATATGAGGACCTACAGCAATAAAATTTGTCAGAAGAGAGAGACTAACAAATATTTTGATACGTGGACTTTTTTAATACAAAAGAACAAATTTGATTGCTAAATAATCAAAGATTATAAGATATAATTTGCAATAAACCGATTTTTTTTAATGCATGAATCTTGTGATAGTTTGTGAAAGGTAGAGGAAGATCTAATAAATGTTTAAAATTGATGAAATACATACTTAAATATAATAAAATTAGCAAAAATGTACCACGATAGAGTGAACTGCAGCAGGGAAGCTTTGTTTCTTTATTTGGAGGAATCGTAGCCCCCTTTTCCATGCAGTTACCTCCATGCTGCGTTCGGCAGTAGGGAATCCTTAGAAAAAGTAAATATCTCAGGATCAATGCCATACACAAACATACACTTGTGCATAAATGATGAAGTAAAAAAAAGGGAAGTGCAAAAAATTGAATGTTCCCCATTGTAATTATTTTACAGAATACTAGTAGTTTGAACATTGATCATATATTAATGGAATGCCAATGTGTGACCTTTAACAAAAATAAGAGAATTGAATCCAGAACAGGTCACTATCAACTGTATTGAAACACCAAAACATTGAATCTAGAATTTCTAATCATCAGTCTCCTTCAGAATGGTGCTGATGATCTATGGTGAAGTTGTTTCTAATGTCGAATTCTATTATTATGAATCTCATTAACCTGCACACCTGGAACTGGTTTGCCAACAGTGCTTCCTTTCTTTATGCCTCTCAAGGGAATAGAAATTGCCATCACAAACTACAAATATCAAATAATTAAAAAAACAAAGCTAGAATATCTCCAAATAAATGGAATTTTAAATGCCCTCCCCCTTGAAGCCTATAGCCTCCAAAAAGGACTTCATGCAGATAGCTAGTACACACCTCAGTCATACCATATCGTTCTAAAAGGTGATGTTTAGTTATGGTTTCCCACTGTTGCATGACAGGATAAGGGAGTGCAGAGGAGCCACACATCTGGAATTAGGGAAAAAAACAATTAGGCCACTGTTTCAGCATTCACCATTCTGTTCAGGTATAGCCATATAGGAGAACAAGAGAACGAGATTGTACGGAACAATATTACACAATAAAAGAGTTACAATTTTATATTAAAAAAATAATATTTAAAAGGGAAAAAGCTACTTAATATTAATCCTTAATTCTTATTTAAATTTTGTAATCAAAATTTCCTAAGAAAGAAGGTGTTGCAAGCTGATTACCATGGGACGCAACTTGCTCGCAGCTGAGGCAGAAGCCTCTCGTAATTCTGGATCCATTGCTTCATAACCTTGTATCAATCGAGTATACATAGTTGGAACCTACATATTACAAAAAGTATTGCAACAATAACATTACGACTATCCTACGAAATCTGGAATCAACACAATGTGGGCCATAAATGCTTCATAGTTTTTTTAAATAAAATATTACTTTGTCCCAAGTGTTCCCTTATGAGAAAAAACCAAAAAAACAAAGTCCCCAAACTGGGCCATAGATAGTGAGAAAATTGGAAAATATAAACGACAATCACTGAACCCTGGGAAAAAAGGGGCAAAAAATAGAAATCTAACAGAGAACAAGAAATAGAGAACTTAAACTTGAGATTGGCATATAAACAAACATGTAATATACACAAATAAATCCAAATATACATACACACAAGATTTGAAGGTAGAGAAAGTGAAAAGATTGGAGATCTGTACCCCAAGCTAAAGAGAATCTTGAAAAAGGAAAAGAAATGTATATATGGGTAAGTGTATATTCAGAGATCTTTCAACTTTTTCAACATAACAGATCAGAAAATGATGTGTTTAGACACAAATCAACTCCTCCTCTTTCTCTCTCCCTCTCTCTCTCTCTCTCTCTCTCTCTCTCTCACACACACACACACACACACACACACACACATACACATACACCTAGACTTGAAGCAAATACTTAAATCTAGTTCAACGAAGCAGAGAGTGAAGAAAAGAAGAAAATGATGTGTTCAGACACAAATCAACTTGTAGTTTCTTGCTTACAATTTCAATTTCAATAACCAAATCGAGAGAGACGGGAAGGAAAAGCTTGAGAAAGAGAGAGAGAGAGAGAGAGAGAGAGAGAGAGAAGTTGATACCTCGCTGGTGCAGATGGCGGTGGCGGTGGCGGTGGCGGTAGCGGTGCAGACGGTGGTGGCGGTGGAGCTTCGAAATCGAAATCGCTCTAAATCTCAAAGATGAATCTGTGAGAATGATAAGGGTTTAGAAAGGATTGAGAGAGATGCGAGATTTGAAAGCGTGAGGATTCAAAATAAAGGTTTACAAAGGCTTTAACAATTATTCTCAGATTCAAAATAAGCTTCGAAATTGAGAGAGAATCACCGAAACATAGATTCGAAATCGAAATCGAGAGAGAGAACTTCGATTAGGGCTACAGCAAGAGATGAATCGATCCGTTGAGACGGTTTAGAGAGAGAGTGAGAGAGACAACGAAAGAGAGACTGAGTGAGTGAGTGAGAGATTAGGGCTACAAAATGTATTATATTTGATATTCACCGCTCACCCATTTAAGAGAGAGTGAGATAGGACATTCGAAGGCATTTTCAAACGCCTTTGGTTATTGAAACGGTGCCGTTTTGATTTTAAAAAAAGCGATGTTTAAAAAACGTCGTTAAATAAACATCGCCAAAACTCATTTTTCTTGTAGTGTTTCTAAAGACTGCTCAAAAGTTTCCCAGTTGTTTACTAAAGTTTTCTCAATATTTTTCAATTTCAAAATATTTTTGGGGACTAAGTACTTAATATTCTTGCACTTGTATGTATAAAAATCTCATTTTTGTCGTTTATTTTCAATCGTGACAATCACCTATTTATACTTTTAAGTCAGGTTTCAATGTTAATCTTTCTTCAATTTGACATTAAGTCAAGTTTCAATGTATAAAAAAATGTTACCTATAGTACTATTAGTGTTTTTTATTTGAATTTTTTGGATTAAGTTTTTTGAAAATTGAGTTTTTTTATTTTTGTGTTTTTTTGTTTTTGGTGAATATTTTTAACATTTTTTTTTTACTTTTTTAGAGGCACCTTACATAGATGTATCTAAAAAGTAAAAAAATTGTAAAAAAATATTTTAAAAAATTAATAAATACATAAAAATACAAAAAAAATGTACTGAATTCTCGTATTTTTTTTTGTATTTTTGATATTTAGTAAATTTTTAAAAGGTTTTTTTCACAATTTTTTTACTTTTTATCTATATTTATATTAGGTATGCCTAAAAATTAAAAAAAAAATTGCTTAAAATATTAAAAAAATTCAATAAAAACAAAAAAAAATGAAAAATAAGAAAATATAATTTTCTAAAAAGTATTTTTGGAAAACTCTAACCAAACAAAATGATCAAAAAAATTCAAACCAAACACACTGATTAATATTATAGGTAACATTTTTTTCGACCACACAATCAAAAATAAAGACGCCAAAATTAAATTTTGGTGAAAGTGCAAATGACCAGAGTAAATTTTTGGTAAAAATGCAACGGTGCTAGTGAGGCAAGGATACTGTCACATGTGACACATACATGGTAGTTCTATCAAACGGAATGTTAATATTTCACCGTTACTTAAAATATAAAATGTTGACTGTCACAATTAAAATAAAAGGCCAAGGTAAATTTTAGTTAAACTACAAGGTACTCAATATAATTTATCATTTTATTTTATTTATTTATTTATTTTTTTTTGTTTGATCAGCAAAGAAAAATTTTAATAAAACATGAACTTAAAGGTACAGGAAAATGACATGCATTAAGAGAGATTTGAAAAGTATAAGATACTATTAGTCGCATCTATACAACCACCCCCTAAGCCTCACAATTTTTTAAAACAACAAAAATAAATAAATAAATACCTATGAAAAAGAAGTTAAGAAGATTTTAACTCCACAAGACACTCCCCTCCTATAAACTAAACCAAAACCACTCAACATCTAGCATGCAAAAATGCTACCCCACTCCCCCTCCAAAAGGCTCCAGAAAACAACCTACCCTCTAACAAAACAAAACACACCCCCACTGACTTTAACCATTCAAAGACTTATCACCCACAGGACAAAACAACCTCCTCTACTTCCATCAAATCTCACTAACCATCTAATAATTAAACAAAAATGCACACTACGTTTAGTTTTCTTGTCGAGTTTGGCTCTGATACTCAGCTCTATCTCGATAAAATCTTTTAGAAATATGTGTTCTCTACCCCCCAAAATCAATCTGCAATTTCTTGCCCATTTGCAAGGTTTCTTCTGCTTTAGCCAAAAGGAGTCTATATTCCTCTTCTCTGTCTTCATCTTGATGTTCAAGATCCTCATCAAATTCGACCAAATTATGCATTTCCCATGACTCGCATGGTAATGATATTGACTGTATCCGCACACAAAAAGCAAATATCCCAGAGGTACAACATCTCACAGGTTCCAATGCTCTGCGCTCAATTTCAATTCACCCTATTTTGTCCCAAAACCAAGTGAGAAGATCTTTAAGCCCAAATCATGCCTTATCCCCAAACCATCTCAACCCATCTCATGCCCATTTTCTCCCAAACAAAAGAAGGCCCATTATGAATCAATATCTGTTTAAATTACACTTGATCCCCTCTTTGCCGAATCAATTGTTGGCGTCTGCCATCTAAACTGTGATACAAGAAAAGTATAATTTATCAATTTTAGGCCAAGTTTGGCATGATTGAAAAAAGACAAAAAGTCAAAAAGTCACTATCATATTTAAGTCACATCATCTTATTTAAGTCACATCACCTCTCTAACACATCACTTCAAACCCAACCCAAACCCAACTCATATTTCATAAAAAGTCAAAAAGTGCACTTATTTGGCATATCTTGTATCATTCAACAAGTACTTCAAAATTTCATCCACAAATTATTATTATTATTATTATTATTATTATGCATAGATGGCTCTATTTTTAAAGTTCACCTAGGATTCAAAACCAACCTTAGGAGAGTCGCATAAATAATATATATATATATATATATATGAAATTTCTCAGCAATCTCCAATCACATACAAACATAAAAATGCAACTATCAATGTTAGCATCAAAAGTGGAAGATCATAGCTCATGGGATTTATTATGTGGACCATTTATGATTATCTTTTCTCCAAGTGGAGCTCTTGGGTTCAATCCTTTATAGTTTAGTCCCCAACCTGACAACAGAGATGCAAAGCATATGTGCACATTTTTTCTATGTCATCTTAATCAAAATTATTCATAAATTGTGTACTATGAAAGAGAATTTGATTGCTTTACCTATCCTCTAAGTCACATGGGATGAGAGTAGGTCCAACTTTATAACCATCCAAAAGAAGATAAATGACAAAGCATCCGTTTCCACTAATAACCCTCTTGACTCAATGTGGAAACCTCTTTGCCCCAATAATCTCAATTCTCTCTCTCTCTCTCTCCAAAGTACAAGCATTACTCTTGCCTATCAATTATTGATTCTCATTCTCTCTCTTTTGAATCTATCCATGCCCTAACGCACCCATCAGAATAATTTTGTACTACTCTACTCTTCCACTATAAATTTAGCTCACCCTTGGGCAAATTTAGATGGAAATAGCCACTAGGTTCATGCCCCATAACCCAATTAAAGTCTTCATTGTTCTTTCTTATTTATGTAACACTATTCACACAATATGAAAGTGAATAGTATTTTAGCTTAGGACTCAAGGGTGCTTCTAAATATACCCCAAAATCTTCAATCCACACCTAGCCCTATCCAAATATTTGCTCATTGGGAACCGTGCTTTCACAATAGATGGTGTTTTTTTTTTTTTTTTTTAAAGTTTATTTAGAAGCACTCAAAAGACGAAATCAACTTACTTTTTTTAGTATTATTTTCAATCCTTTGTCTTAAATTTTTGTGGAGTTTGAAAAAAACAACAAGAGTACTAAGGAAAATCAATTGAATGGGGCATGGGGTAAATAGCACCCTTTCAATTACATAGTCAAGTTTTTAAATTTAAACAAAAATGTTAAAAGGCACATAAATAAATCACTCATTACATATGAGTTGTGTGTGATTTTGTAATTTATTTTTGTATCAATATGGACTTTCAAATTTCAAACATGCTCCAATGCTTGCCGCCCTAGAACTAACCCTAATAAATCCGTGTTTAATTAGTTACAGTGATTATTATCATATGAGAAATTGTCTAGTCAAGCTTTTTTACAAGTCTAAGTTTTTTTTTTTTTTTCCCATAGATACATAATTTGCAGGGATCAATATAACAGATAAGAGTTTTAGGGATCAAACATTTTTGTTCCTAAAACCGTGTTTGGAATATGAATTTGAGGAGAGATTTAAAAAGAGAAATGAAAAAGATATATGAAATGTAATATAAATTAAATATAATTTTTTGAGGAGAGATTTAAAAAGAGAAATGAAAAAGATATATGAAATGTAATATAAATTAAATATAATTTTATTTCACCTACTTTTTACATACCAAAATGTAATGGATCATTCCCCATAAAAATACCAAAATTTATCTTCGAGGTCACAAAGTCATTCTTATCTTGTTTTCTTGTACTATTTTTTCTCAAGTACTTTCTCAGTGTTTTCCTTGCATCAATTGATATAAACAAGTCATTTTTGCTCTTACATCATTGTATGGACTATTCTTCACTATTCCAAGTGTATATGATATGCACTTGATGCCATATAAGCGAAATCATAAAGTTTGGAACTTCATTTTCAATTTAGATTTCTGTTTTGGTTTGTTCTGCAGGACCCAAGGGTGTCTAGCCATCTAAAGTTTATCTAAAGTTCAGTGGGTCCATTCACATGCCTTATGAGTTATGCAGCCTAAAGATGCTCATACAAAGGGAAAATTATTCGGTACTCCGAGATCACCTTACTAATTTTGGTGGTAATTAATAATGATCAAACAATTAGGTAAAAGTCAGGCTCGAAATTTCACTTAGTTAGGACTTTACCTCTTTAAAAAATTAAAAAAGTGAGAGTTAAGGTTGATCCAAATCAAAATTGACGTAGGGGTGCAAGCCACTAAAAATGAACTCCATATACAAAAGAGAATTGTACCCTAAATAGTAGATTGAATAGACTGGCCAATCTCATCTAAGAAAATTCCATCCGGGTTGTTGTCAAATATAAAAAAAAAAAAAAATTAATCATGTGGAGAAATTCTTATTGGGTATTACTTTTCTAATTCATGACCCATAGATGGAACCTTGTTAGGGAGTTCTATAAATCTCTACTTGCCTTCTGATTCACTTTCACTGCCATGGCTTAAACACACACAAACACCTTACCTGAATTTCTCTCTCTCTCTCTCTCTCTCTCTCTCTCTCTCTCTCTCTTAATGAGCACAGCTATGTCAACTGTAACTCAGAGGGGAAGCAATAATGGTAGTGAAGAAGAATTTGAGCTGAGAAAAGGGCCATGGACTCTTGAGGAAGACACTCTTCTAATCCATTACATTGCTGGCCACGGCGAAGGCCGGTGGAATTTGCTAGCCAAATGTGCAGGTAACAACTCATGCCATAACATGAATATGTGCCAACTCATTTTATCAATAAAGTTTTTTTTTGTTGATAAATAAATAAAAAATAAAAAATTGAATAGCTGCCAAGTTCATTACCAACCCATGCCATAACATGAATATGTGCCAAATCATTTCATCAATAAAGTTTATTTTTGTTGATAAATAAATAAAAAATAAAAAAACTAGAATAGCTGCCAAGTACATTACCAACCCTTTTGATCTGTTCTTCAGTTTCATTTTTTTTTTAATATTTTTTCCATTTAATTTCCAGGGTTGAAGAGAACTGGAAAAAGTTGTAGATTGAGATGGCTAAATTATTTAAAACCCGACATTAAGCGTGGAAATCTCACCCCGCAAGAACAACTCTTGATTCTTGAACTCCATTCCAAGTGGGGTAATAGGTCAGTATATAGTATATATGCACTTGTGTTATAATTTCGATAAAGCCTAACTTAATAAGATGTATTGAGTGTAGTGTGTCATGTAATAGTACTAGTTATACTTTCTAACATGTTGGCACTTAAAACTTCGCTTTTTAGATGGTCAAAAATTGCACAACACCTTCCAGGGAGAACGGACAATGAAATCAAGAACTACTGGAGAACAAGAGTGCAAAAACAAGCGCGACAACTTAAGATCGAGTCTAATAGCAAGAGGTTCCTAGAAGCGGTTCGATGTTTTTGGATGCCAAGATTACTTGAGCAGGTGGAACAAACTTCATCATCATCACCATCTTCTTCAACCATGGAAACTCAAAGCTCTACAATTACTTCTTCTCTACTGCCCAACCACGAAGCCCCGTTGGCGTTTTCGTCTCCACAACCCAATGAAAAGCCAAGCTCAGTGACCAATTCATCAACAATTTGCTTCTCAGATTCCATGAGAATATCACAGCTGCCTGAATTTTTAGAGCGTCCAACAAGTCCACCTCTAGATGATTGTTACTTTGTGGACATTAGTGGGTATGACATGGAGGTCTTTAACCTGGCAACCATGTCATCAGTGGGCCCTTGTGACTTTTCGCTCTCGGATAGCCAAATGGCAGGAAGCGATTGGATCAGTGATGACGTGGCATGTACTTTATGGAACATGGATGAATTGTGGCAATTGAGGAAGCCAGAAGAAGAGTTGGGTATCTAGGCTTACCATGTGCTCATCATGACTTTGTTACTATATGTTGACCTATGTATTAGTTTAGTCTCTAACCTGAATGATTTCTTAGATTGATGGGACAAAACTTAGTACTCAATCTTATATTGAACTTGATTAGTGTTGGAAAATACTACTCATTGATGAGGTTAATGCATCTCCCTTTGTTCTTTTTAATTTTCTTTTCAAATTGGCAAGTGGTTAGCAATTTGACAATTGAGTAGAGAAGATAATATTCAAGTTGTGAGAGGACTTCTTTTTTTCCTTTTTCTTTTTTTGTTGGTACATGTAGAAAAACCATATATATTCTATTATTGAAAGAGGAAAAATCAACAAGAGTTGTTTCAAACTGACGAGGTGCCTCATCAAGTCCATAACAATAGCAATCTTTCAAGACTTTTTGACAGCTCAAGCTAAATATTAAGGCCTCATTTGGCAAGTGGTGATTTTAGCCAAAAAAATTTTAAAAATTACTAAAAAAATTAAAAAGCTAACAATCTATACTAAAAAGTCAAAGATTCATTTTTCTCTCTACATTTTACACATCTTTTCGTAAAAAATTAAAAATTTATCCCAAACATATTACTTTTTTGTGCCTCATATTTTAACTAAAAATTCAAAAAAATTACTAAAAAGCATGTCTCCAAACGAGACCTAAAATGAGATATTATCATATTATGCCTTTGAAAAATTAATATATTAACCAATAATTTTTTTTTAATTTTTTTTGATGAGTCCTGTGAAACGAATTAAATGACCTAATAATTGAACATGTCCAATCGTTGGGCTAGACAACCTGCTCAAATATAAGAGGACTTGAAAAAAAATCAAGATTGTGACCTTTGCAATTAATACAATTACAATACTACACAATTTTTTAACACAATAGAAATACAATCACCAAAAATAAAAATTTATTTATTTGTTAAGTAAAATTTGTATTTGCAATGGTACCAAAAAAATAAAAATAAAGAAGAGAGTAGAATTTTTTTAGTAAATTTTTTTCTAGAGATGGGCTTTCCATCACAAGTATTTTTTATCACTGAAAATAGATATAAATGAATACCGATACTAATTTTCATCCTTAATAGTTTAAAGTGCATTATATGAATTTAAATTTGTTCACGTATTTTAAGAGTATACAAAACATAAATTTTAATTGGTCAAAATTATATGACTTTCTCTAAAATTATCAATCTCATTATTTTAAATTTATATTTTATTCATAAAAAATGTCTCGTAGCTCAAATACTTAAACACATATACTTAAATCATATACTTAAATACATTTGTGAACAAAATTATATTCTCCATTATCTAGTTGTTGAAATCATTGGTTATTGACTTGTATTGCTAACTAAAAAGATCAAAGGTGTGGTCAATTCAAGGACATGAAGTGGAAGTGACAACTATGAGGATCATAGTGGAGTCTATTCATCCCACTGTTAAAGGACATCATCCTTCCAATAAATGTTCATTGTGAGAAAGCAAAAGGTGTAGTAGTGACAAACTTAACCCAGGGGCCCAACCCATCAATATCTTTAGCTCTGTAACAAACTGGTAAGCAGATGTGAGCATTGTCCATAGTGAAATAAGTACAACAAGGCTACATATAAAAGTCAAAAGGAGAGAATGCATCTTCTCTTTCCCAAATTCCTGAGCACAGCTTCAAGATTATCAACTTCAACATTAAGTGACGGATTTGATTTCAATCATGAACACACAAGATTATGAGAGCATTTTTTTTCCTTCTCATTTCTTACGGTGTTTAGATATGGTCTAATCAGTCCGAATTTCTAACAGCCTGAATGAAAAAGAAAAGTGAATCTCATGTAGCATCAATGGTGTCAGCCAAAAATTCTTTGAAAACTAACTTAAATTAGGCCAAGTTTGGGATGTTTCCAAAAGCTAAAAAGTCAAAAAGTTACTCAAAAAGTTAAAAAGTTAACACTATTCACCAAAAGTCAACAATTACGGCTGCACAACTCCCAATTCAAATTTTTCCCTACAAATCAATTTTTACAATTTTTTATTACACATTTTTCAATAAAAAGTCAAAAAGTTAACACAAACATCCATATTTTCAACTTCAATTTTTTAGTCCAAAAAGACAAAAAGTGTACTTATTTAGTCTTCCCAAACTTGACCTTAGTATATATACTTGTAGAGAAAGCAAGAGATATTGTATTGATTTGCCATCAGGAATTGAAATTTTACATAAAGGATGCGAACATATATTTATTAGGGTAAATTATACTAATACTCTCTGAGATTTTTGTTTAATATAAATCTTCTCTCATATTTAAAAAATTACATTTATCTCCTTATTAGATTAAAATGACATAATTGTCATTTAGACTTTATACATATAAATAATAAAATAATACAGATATTTTGTTCCTGTCATTTCACAAAAAATAACAATCATCTTCTTTAGTTTAACTCACACAAAAATTTGAGTTTTTTTTTATTTTTACTGAATTTTTTTAATATTTTAAGTAATTTTTTTAATTTTTTAGATACGCATAATCTAGATATACTTAAAAAGTATAATATTTTGTGATATCATGATGGAAATAAAAATGAAAAATTATATTCATATATAAAAATATTGTGATGATGATATTGTTAAATCATGTTTATGGGTGTTTGTTTTAAAATGAAAGATCACCACAGGCTATATCATTGTGTTTGAAAATTATATATAAAATTTATATTTGTATATCATCACTCAATAAAAATACGATCAAATAAAATTTAATTATAGAAAGTTATAAAATGTAGTCATGATGATAGGAATAAAAAATGATAAAAAAAAAATGACAAGATGGTCACTTAAAAAATTTTAGGGCATAACATCAGTAATCTAGAAAACAATTTGTAATGAGATTACAAATATCAAGAAGAAAAATATAATTTTTCAAATATGATGGGGGAATTTGTATTAAATAAAAAGCTCAAGGGGTGTCAATGTAATTTACCCTATTTATTAACAAAAAGTTTATATAGAAAGTATGGATTACAACATCAACGAGTTACAAAAGATAACAACTAAAAAAAACAATCTACTTAGTAAAGTGAGTTATCTTGAATTGGACAATAACTTTTTTCTAGTTCAAAATCGGATTGGAGCATGTTGCTAGGCCACCATGGGCCAATCATGGAGCTCATATCAATAATCTAAACGTTTAATATGTAAATCTCGTCAAGTACTTCATTCCTATAAATGATCATGTTAATCAGATATCGATATTCACTTAATTAGATCAAATTCATATCAATAATAATTATGATTTTAAAAATATCATTATAAGTATTTATGATAGAATCGACTTTGAGATCTTGCATAATAATGTTTCCCCAGTGAACATAATCAAATAACTAGCTGATATCTTAGTTTATTATTTGAAAATAGGATTTGTAATCAATGCTAGTTATAAGAAACTAATTTCTTTCCTTATATAATTTTTCTAATTATATATTTTGATCTAATCTTTTATAGATACAGAGGACCAAATCATTCAAATTTTTGAGAAAATCTAGTGAGGATGACCACCAAAAATTTGTATTAAAAAAAAAAACCTAAAAGGCACGAGCATCTATAATTTAGAAATAATTATAATTAATACTACTATAATAAAATTCAATACAACACTATAAACTCCTATTGAATGATAACATCATGTCATTAGTGTCACTGTGATATTGAATTTTTTTTTTTTTCTTGAAAGTGGTCACTCTAGTGGTCGAAAAATTCTTCTTTTTTTTGTGTTGCATATGTCTTTCTCTATTGTTAATTATAATTAATTCTTACTCATAATCATTGTTAGTTAAAATGTTACATTTACTACATTTTTATACTATTTTTAATATATCACCTCATATGTTAACACATTATTTAACATAAACATAAGTGGTAGGACCCATTACACCAATTATTAATTAACACATAAAGTGGTAATACTTACCCATAAGTGTATTTAAATCTTTGGCAGGTCAATCTTGACTAGCAAAATACTTCCGGCTAATATTAGGGATTATAAAAAAATATCATAAAATATTTCATATAAAAATTTCATCATTTGATTAGTATGTGATATTTTATTATATATATAATCCAAGGAGTGAAGAATTTTTATGAAACACGTCATAATATTTTTTTTCATGATCTCTAACATTAATGGTTATTTGATTTAATTGAGGAGTCTGTTATAACCCAAGCTCCTCTTTATTGATGTAATCTTTTTACCTTTTTGGTTTCATCAATAAAGATTTTCTTTACCGATCAAAAAAAAAAAAAAAAGGGTTATTTGAGAAGAACTACATTAGCACACTTTTTATCTTTTTTAGTTACATCTGTATATTTTTTTTTATAAAAAATCAAAAAAATATGTTTATTTTCTTCTCAAACAACCTCTCAATACTTACCCATCCATTTCTATATGAATTTTTTTTTGAAATTTTAGAAGACACTTTTAATACTTAAAAAGTGAGTTATTTAAAATAAAATTTCTAAAAATAAAAAGAACAAAATTTATTTGGATGCTCAAGCCATAAATTTAAATTTCCCTTTATCTAAAAATCCACGGGTGAAAATATATATGGACGTACTTTTGCAGAAGGAACAAATTACTCATGATTAACGCGTGTCTGTTGAACACTCTATAATCACATGCCACTTTATATATTTGGTTTTTTTTTTTTTTATATTGGGTATTTTGTACCAGCTTACAGACATTATATTAAGGCCAAGTTTGGCATATCTAGGAAAAGTTAAAAAGTCGAAAAGTTACTCAAAAAATTAAAAAGTTAATACTATTAACCAAAAGTCAACAATTACAGCTGTACAACTCCCAATTCTAATTTTCTCATACAAACCAATTTTTACAATTTTTTATTACACATTTTTCCATAAAAAGTCAAAAAGTTAACCCAAATATTTATATTTTTTTCCTCAATTTTTTAGTCTAAAAAGACAAAAAGTACACTTATTTAGGAGACCCCAAACAACCCCTAAGTCTCCATAGCATTAACAATCCTTCCGAAATAGTACTTATGTCCTGCCATTTGTGTCCTAATGCATTTGCTGATGAGTGGTGATTCATTCCACTAATTTTTAGATCACTAATAGCTTTAATGAGCTTAAAAAAAAAAACAAACAAACAAACTTAAGTCAAAACATCACATCACTTTGGTGGGAGCCACTGTGCCACATCATTAGTGATGCTCTAGAGCTCCCAATTTAGTGCTCTAAAACATTATTCTTTGCTGATTAAGAAATTTGAATTTGAGACTTGAGAATGAACAAA